ATGCATTTCCCACAATTCTATGATATTTATAGATGAAAATGTACACACTGAGAACATATTTTGGGCTTTTTGAATTAATATTTAAACAAATACTTTTTTTTTCCGAGATAGTGGCTGCCCCTTTTTGATTTTGTGTTGGTCAGTTGGTGTTTACTCACTTTAAACACACCAATTAGGCAATTGTACTGAACCAGATAGTTCAATGCAGATATTTCAGATCCGAACTAACGTGTTAACTAACCGATCGAGGCAGCGGTAGACCAGCAACCCCTGTGTTCTGTGAGGTAAAATTACTGTTTTTGTCAGGAGGTTGGCTTTAAAGAGAGCTTATGTTTAGTTCCCCAGTCGGAAAGTGCGGTCTGGCGGCAAAGTAAAGCTGTGAAAATATTCCAAATATAGCGTAAACTGTGCACACTGCATACACTGACAGGCTTTTCAGCATCTTCTGAAACAGAAATTCAAATCTATCCTGAAAAAGCATGTTTGGGATGTATAACCAAGGTGGGATGATTTATGTTTATATTTGGGATGCTACTAACATTTAAAGAACTGCATATTTTTGTTTGGAAGAACAGTAATCTCCTGAAGTTAAACTAGCTGTTGCTTATGAGAGGAACTGCTGTGATTGGCATTAATAAAGCTTCCCTTAACTCCACTTGCTGCCCTCACTAGTGAGGTCATTTGCTGTAACTGTTTGGGTTTTCTTTAAACCAATCATAAGACATCATTAAGTCTCTGGCCCAGAGACTGTAAATAGGAGGTGTGGGAACTATCAGATTAAATTCCACACTCCCACAGGGCAGACATGGAGAGCTCTGGTACCCGGATAGACCCTGGGTTAGATTGTGGACTATAAGCCTAAGAAGCAGGTAGGGCTGCTGAGCTTAAAGCTTGTGGTGCACCTTGTGGCTCACGTCCTGCCAGAGCATGGACGGCCCTTGCGACCCTGTACACAGGATAAGCGGTTGACGATGGATGGATGGAAAATACTGTCCAGAGAACGTCTTTCTTTTTATGGAACAATCTTTGTCCATAGGTTCAGAAAGTCCTTGTGGAGGACCAGTTCTTGGAAGATCATTTGTCCGTGGTGCCTGTGGTGGAATACGTTTCTCATTTAGCACAATGTTCAGAAAAATAAAGTTAAGACAACACTCAACAAACAAACAAGAGCCACAAACCACAAGCTTGTGAGAAACTAAACACAAAATGTATAGAACTTGATGACCCACCTCACTTCTGGTGCAGCATCCACCGACATTTACAAGACAGCAGTAAGGAAGCGCTCAGTGAAGCTCCTTCCTGCTGTCAAGACGCGAGCCGCTCCAAGGTTGTCAGCCAACAGGTGCAGGTGTTGTCCCATGCACCCTTTTACTGCAACCCAATGGTGGCTGAGGAAGGACAAAGACAAGGCAATATGTGACAAGCAAATCAACTGACCATGTTTCATTTTCAATTCATTTGATTTCGTTTTAACGCTTGTGCTGATAAAACGAATGCAGCCTCTTGTCCTCTCTTACCCCAGCCCTGTGTTCAGCAGAGCGCTCATGATCCGACCATGACTGCAGCTTTGCACCATGGCATCTAGTGCAAGATTGACCTACTGCTGAATAAAGGTGTTTGTAGAGCTGACAGTTTCAGCAGCAAGGCTTGGCCTGTTCCCTGTGCCTCCAGGTCCATGGCCTTCTGCAGGTGCTCAGCTAAGGTGTTCATAACTGCGCATGACACGGCTGAGCGTACGTTTTTCACCTGTATAGTAAGAATAAACGTCATCAGTCAAGACTCCAGCATGGACACTCATGTAGGCAACTGAAAATGCATTAAACACAAAGACAGAAATTAAGATACAAAGAAAGTGTACAATACCTCCTTAATGAGAACCAGACACACTTCATGGAGTTTGATCTTCAGGGTCTCTGAGTGGTGCTGTGCCAGAGCTTGAATGCTATTCAAGCCATCCTTTTTCTTTCTTTCTGTTCAATTTTCTTTCTTTTCTTTATCCTGTACGTTTATGTGACAAGAATTAACCGCACTGTACATTGCTTCAGGAACAACCCGAATTCTGTTCTTACAAAAGATACAAAAACTATAATTAAGTGCAGTTGTATTTTATGCTAAGATGTTGCACCAACTGATAAATGTCTCAGCTCACCATATTCACTGGCTCCTCACTCAAGCTCTGTAAAATATCTTTTGGTATGGTGTATTGATTTTTGCCTTTTCCCTCTTCTTTATTGAGTTATATCTCTTTTTTGTGCATGTAATAGGTTTGAAAAGTGATAAAGCCCAAAGTCCAGCCCAAAGGTAATTCCCATCTCCCACAGAAAACTCTGCTCTGAACTGCCTGAAAACAGCTCGTTTAGTTAGTTAGTAGTCCAGCCTTTCCTCTTTAATCTATCTGCGTCACGCAGCATAAAACTCACCTAGCGGCTAATGTGTGGCACGCCCTCAAAAACACAGGTGGAGAAACACACTGAGCTACAGCACATAGTGACAAGTCGTCCGCCGACACCCTCCCTACAGAACGACACGCTCCCACCCATTCAAAGCATTGTACTAGCTACTATAACTCTTCACAAAAGAGTATAAGAAAACCATGAATAATAATAAGTTATTCAGGATGTGTGTAGAAGAAATTACCTGCTCCGTTGACAGCCTTTGCAGGGCGCAGGAATGTCCCGTGTGAAGATCCTCTTCTGTTGGTTTGGGGAACTGTTGGGGGGGCTCAGGGGTCCTCTTTGCAACTTCTGGGTGTCGAGGTGAAGGGACAGAGTTGAGCTGAAAGCGCTCCAGTCTTTACACAATGGCCTCAACATTTTTTGTAGTCGATCGGAGTTTACATCCATCGGTGATCTCCTTGCCTGTAGAGATTATCACATCTACCATTTCTACTATATTTTTAAATGCAGGTGTTGTATCCAAAGGTTTGAGCAAAATATCCCTATGCTTTGTGACTCCAACATAGGGGCTGGGCGATATGGCCAAAAATGTAATGTCAATAAAAACATTTCATACCATTCAATATCGATAATTATCACAATAAATGTCAAATCATTATTTCTTTCAAGTTTAAAGGCTAATTTTTGAAAAGAATAGAAAAAATATCAGGGATGTAGTAGATTACACACATGTGGACATGTTGTTCAGCAAAAAGCTTCTCTTTCGTGGTAATTTCAATTGAATGGGTCAGTTCTTATACCGTGTGGTCGTGACTCCTGTCTCCTTCCTTTCTTGGGTGATTGTGGGTTTCTCTTGAAGGGATAATAATTTCAGTGGAGTCGTGAGGACGACCAGTGGAAATATCTTCTCTCCATCCAGTCTCCCGAAAAACAACGTCTTTTGACTCTATATTGAAATCTGAACTTTTTAAATCAACAGCAGATGATCGAATGCCTTAAATGTTCCAACATAACGTAAATGATGTCCTCTCTCAGTGTGATCTGTTTAAAAATAAGATAAATCAGGTGTGAAATGCTGTTGGGTGTTGTAGGTTGGTGCGATTGTGAGTAGCCTATATCACCATTCATATAAAATACCATTTCATGGCTTTAAGAAGTTTGGCTCTGGTACCATGTTGCTATGAGGAGAGAGCAGAGTAGGTTCAACATGTGTTGTATTTCCCTGAGGTCACGATACATAGTGGAATACATCTGAATATTTTACTATGTGCCACAGCTTATTAACTCTCGCACAATATTGCATCTTTACATCCATTAATTGAATTCATAGTATTCAGCATTCAACTGTTGCCTAGATCCAACATGAACCAGTGGTCAACGCAGTTGGAGGACATTTCTATCAAATTGTAAAAGCCTTTTTATATACAATCTATGGTAAAAGCTTATTGAAATTAACCGAATTAAAAGCTAGAATAATGATGTTTACTTAAAGGCAAAACACATTTGGTCCTTTCTCCATTTGTTCTTGTTGCTCTTAAAGCTCATGGTACATGTTAATACATCATATAAACTTTATCATGCTGCTATTCAAGTATTGTTGTTACAACCTAATTTTTGCTGCCCCCAAGTGGCCAAAGAATATATTCTAGCAGGTTTTGAAATCTGTTTAGTCTACAATGTTTTAGTATCCTTCAAGGCTTGTTTCTTTACTAATCCTAGTCTCATGGAGCCAGAGATCTGTGGAACCACTGTAGGCATAACAGGCAGATACCTCTGTGATTTGTTTTTTGAAAACAAATACAGTTTGTAAGGTTTTATGAATTTGTAGGCTAAAAATGACGAGTACTTTTCATTCACTATAACATAGATTAGTATAATTGTTATAACTAAATTTAACCTGTCATTCTTGTATTTTTTTCAAAAATTGTTAAGTCAAACATTTACTCATTATTTATTCAGTGAAAATTTCAACAATTTCTATTGTTTGGTTTGAAATTTCATCAAAATGTGTGTCCACACATATTTCGTAGTACGTGTCATAGCTTGTGGTAAATTTTGTTTAAATTTTAAAATTATTTCAAAATTGAAATAATCTGAAATTTTGTACACATGAGAACATTTCAGAACAAATTATTTTCAACATTATTGAGTGCGCCCTGCGATGGACTGGCAACCTGTCCAAGGTGTACCGATGTCAGCTGGGATTGGCTCAAGCCACCCCTCAGCCCTGCACACAGTAAGTCATTGATGATGGATGGATGGATTGAGTGAAATGTTTTACTAATCAAAGCAGAATAGTTTCAAAATGATGTTGACTAAATAGTGTCAAGAATTTTTGGAGCATTTCTCACCATTATTGAAGTGAGCGAAGAGGCACAAAGTAAGAATGTAAGTGTCTCAGATGTTTCTTTCCAAAAATATATTCTGAAAATGTTAAAACTTTATATAACATTTTTCCCCCTTTATGGCTGAACTGTGACAAACATCCAGATCAACATGTCTTTGCTTGCTATAATCGTAATTGTGATCCCTTGGCCTTGACTGTTTTGGTGAAAGTACAGCTACTTATTGCTTTGTCTCTCAAGAGAAATCACAAATCCATTCCATTTGAAGAGTAGCTTTCACGTTTATTACACATTAACACCGCTTTATTTCAGCATCACTTTTTGAACACACATACAAACTGATGATGGTAAACAAAGTCAAAAACTACACAAAGTAGTTGCTATTCACGGCAATAACTCAGGTGTGTAATCTATTTGCTCATCAGCTGTTCAATATTAGTCCAGCCCATTCCAGGGCACAGTGATAGCCATTGTGCAAGTGATCCAGCTCCAATTTCCCACATCTCAGGCGCATGTTGCTAAATTCTTTGCTAAACTTGCACTCCCCGTGAAGCGACAGCAGGTCTGGCCTGTATGCACTGCAGCAAGTAGCATGTTGTCACAGTTTTTAGGAAGTAATGGACACCATATTGTTAGGACTCAGGATCTCAATCCAGTAACCATCAGGGTCCTGAATGAAGGCCAAGCCCTTCATTTTACCTGAGAAGTGAATGGAAAATTAACTGTTAACTGTACTAATAAACGTACAAAATACAGAAATAGAAAAAATTTAAACAAGTCCGATTTCCACAAGCGTGTTCTAATCATAATGCAGTGAAATGACACTGAAGATAAACACATTTCAATTGTAGATAGAGGTACTGAGCAGGTGCTTTCTGTTGCTATGTAAAGAGTCAGTACACGGTAAAGTACAGCCACAATATAGTAAATTAGATCAATAAATAATCATCTTTCATCACTTTACAGATGAGCAAGTACAAATAATTATGATTACTTGTTAGTTTAGAGTTGGAAATCTGCATTCACTATATGCCTTGCTTTAATAATCTTGGGGTGAAGTGAATGAAGCTAAAGCTGTACAGTGCAGGAAAGAAAAATAGTCTTGGAAAATTATGGTGCATTCAAGAATATTTCTGTCCAAGTTGCCTAGAACTGATTTATTGGTGTAATTAACCCATTTCCAGTCGTGGTGCAGTGGGGGACGGGGAATGAAACTGTACTAAATGTCATATTTGAATCAAGGGATTTCTTGATTACTTGAATAAATGGTTTCAGCCGTAATTTCAATTTGAGTGTATAAACAAACTCAAAAAAAAAAAAAAAAGTGAAAAAAAAAAGTACTACAAAGACTGCCAAGTTTAATCTATTTAACCCGTCTATGTAGGGCTAGGCGATATGGCCAAAAAATATATTATCACCTTAAAAAAAAGAAAGGGATTTATTTCTTTCAAGTTTAAAATCTTTTTCTCCTGAGTGAAAACTGAAGAAACCAGATGGCTGTTAGCGGTTTTAACTATTTTTTACGGTGAGAACATGACACTTTCCAAACAGCGGATCACTTGATTCAAACCAATTATAATGAATTAATCTTCTTTCAACAAATATGCATGAGTAATATTAAGTAAAATCTTTTTTCAGTCCCCTTTCCTAAACAGAATAAATATCTTTAATCTCTAATTTGTTTGTGGCTCAAATGAATTAAATCAAATATTTACTGAACATTTGTTATATTGTTATTTAGGAAAACTGTATTGTGATAATTATCATTATTGCTTTTTACTTAGCCCTACGTCTATGACTGTCATACTCGCAAACACTTGACATCTTACCATCATCTGGCTTCTTGACAAATGTGACTCCTTGCTCTTCAAACAATTTGCAGGCTGCATAGACGTCAGGAACTGCGATTCCAATGTGTCCTGTCAAATGTCAGGTAGACAAACAGAGACGGTTCACTATAAAAGACACACTACAGTAACACATACCCACATGTCTGCTCTAGTGATCAAACACACACACACAAAAGGACCACAAGCAACAGTGTATCCTTATAAAATGTTTTGCCTAAAATGTTTTAGCCTTAAAATCAAGACTACAGTATGTATAAAGGAGGAATAAATGATAGATGAATTGGTTCTGTGGATGAGCTTTTAAAAACGCTAAGAATTTTTAAATAACTGATAGCTAATGCTCAACATTTAAAACACAGATCACAAGAACTAAAATGTTGCTGTTAAACAGAGTGTGTGTTTAACATTTTAACTTTGTGTTCTGGCATTTCAACGTCCATGTAAGCATGCATGTTCATGCAATCATTTATTGAAGGCCTTTTCTTTGGGACAACAATGTCTTGAACTTGTAAATCTCACTTTCCACGACACTTGGAAAAATTACATTCCATTGGTCTTTCCTGTCTGTTAGCAATCTTACCAAAGCCACGTGGATCTGAGTTTCCATTGTGATAAGACTGGCTCTCGTCAGACTCAGAGCCCCAGTTACTGAAAGACAGGAGGGACGAGACGAGGAATACAAGAAACATGAGCGCAAATGAAGAGAAGAAGAAAGAAGGACAGAACGTCCCGTAAAAAAATTATCAGGGAAATCAGATACAAACACATATTCTAATTGGAGCTTCTACAGTTATTAACTTGCAACTCTAACGGTAGCTCAAAATACTTGAGAAGCTCGAAAAACACACTGCACAGTAAGCCAATGGTGGAATAGAAAAAGCAAAAACAGAAACATTGTTGTTCAGCTAACTTAACCACAGACGGTTATTCTGGAAGGAAATTATTCTGCATGTTACTTTGTGTGCTGTAAAGTTAGTTTTTCTCAAGTGATTAAACTAATTCCAGGACATAGACCCTTACTGTGTCAGCTCAATGGTGGCTCTTCTAGAAAAGGTCCAGGCCGTCTTTTCCTTCACATCTGCAGGAATCTCATTCTTGTCCTCATAGCCCAAGAAGAAGAGAGAGAAACGCATGGAGGGGAAGTCAAACTTTTGCAGGAGCCTGGAAGATTTTGCACACCAGAGAGAAAACCCGACTTTAGTCACCAAATCCAGTTTATGCATTAGAAAACAGTCACACACACATATATACACTTTAATAAGAGTTGAATTGAACTGCACATTAAACTTAAGCCCACACTTATACTCACGTCATGCCGAGGATTCTGGTGTAGAAATCTAAGGATTTAACTGGATCTTTAACACGCAGCATAGTCTGCTGCATCATGAAATCCTAAGACACAGACACACAGTAACAGAGCTTTATACACACACCACACTTTAAGCCAAGTGGTCTGCAACACTATTAAGCAATCACAAATATTACAGGATGGTGGGTTTACATTTCTTTACAATGTTGATGGAGCAGAAATTCTAATTTTCCAGGATGTTGCATTTGAATACATTAAAGGGCTGAAAGTGAGCACAACTAAAACCAGGTCTTCCCAAGAAGAGAAACAACAATTTTAGCAGCTCAACATGTGAATTTGCATCACATTGTGTTGGAAAATGGAAAAACTACTGTTGGTTAGCCAGAGTTTACTCAGAAACAAATTGTGGCCAGTCATCAGCCAATACACAAATAAATATTAAAATAGTTATAAGCAGTTACAAAAGTTTGCACGTTGGTCTAACATTAAAAGGGTGGTGGCCTAGTCAGTGGATTTTCTGTGATGTGAATGCGCATATTCTGTGCCTGAAAGTAAGTGTAAGATATGCCTTTTTTTTTTTAACAACAAAAAGATCTCTCTTTGGCTCTGTTGGCTGTGCCTGAATTGCACCACAGGAAAATGCATGAAACCCATGACCAAAATAGTAATTGTGTTACTTATGGATGGAATTATGTGAAAATAAACAATTCCCCTTTTTGCTGGGGACCCCCTGAAAACCCCTCAAGGGCCCCTGGGGGTCCCCGGACCCCACTTTGAGAACTATACAGTCACAGTTCTACCATCTAAGCTAAATGCATTACTTCTGTCAGGGCTTCAAAACTTCAAGAGGGTTAATGGGATGACACAGATGTAGTGCATTCAGCCATATTATGATGAAGCAGGCAGCACAATAGGAGGGAAGTTGAATGACTGGCAGTAGCTGGACAGGTTAAGTTAGCTCCAGCAGCTTATGCTTGCAACACTACTCACACAAGCCATTTGCAGTCCCGCCACAGCATGCGAGTATATTTTGGTCTGACCGTAACGTTACCTAAATGCCAACTTTCTTGTGAGTACGGGCACGATAAATTGCGTCCCAGATTTTCCACCAGGTTCTTCTCACACGACAAAGTTAGCTAACGTTAGCTTACGACAGCCTACAATAAAACCACCACTCATTTACCTGAAATGTGTATGTCGCTGAAACGCTGGTCATAAGTCTTGGCAATCATTTTCAACAATGAACCGAACTCCCTTGACACCGGGTGACCAACGCGTAACTTAGTTTGAGGAAACGTGTCCGATAATGGACGCAGCGCGCATAGCTGGTTAACCTGTCTGGGAGTCGTTGGCCTGTTTAGGTGGCTGACTTTGACAGTGCCTGGAAAAAGATTAGTTTAACTTCAAGAGAGACAACAATCATCTTACCTTAGTAATTGGGTTTCCATCTTTACAAGCTGTTGCCGCTGCCTCGTCTGACAGACCTTTGTCGCTCATTTTTGCAAACAGACGGTTCGGGGCGGACTGACAGGGAGCAGGATTCCGCTGACACCTTCCGGTACCACCTTTCAAAATAAAAGACACAACTGTCATTATTACAGGGCGACACTTCAAAAAAAAACCTTTATGGATATTAAACTCCTTTATACTTAAGACTGATTTGATATTGCACATAGAATGGCATATTAAATAAAAACATATGCTATCAACATACTGTAACTATTAATCCCTGGATTACACTTAATGAAGCACGTGATCAGTTTGTAAAAAAACAGATTAACAGCAATAGGAAAGATTAGGATGTAGGCATGATAAAAATACTAAGGATGGTCGTAATAACCTACAACAGCATAAATACAGGGATTTATACAGTTTGTCACCATGAAAAATGTTAACCCTAACACATCCCTCATAATTAAAGATGCACTGTAAAATAATGTGAAAGGGAGACTGTGGGATAAAAAAATCACTGAATCTATAAACTATGAAATGTACAATGAGCGTGAGCCTGGTAAGGCAAATATTTTGAGACCTCATTGGTTTGGCATATTTTTATGGTAAAGATTCAACATGCACCCTGAAACACAGTTAAAAATTTGACTTGCGTGCAGCACCAGCATTTCTGTTTTTTCCAAAGGTATGCACTTTAAAGAGTTTATCAAAAAGCCCTGTTTTCAGAGGACATACAGGGATAAGCCACGTTCATAATTATCTGGAGAATTGTGGAAATGGCCCAAGAGATCCTCACCCTTATGACGTGGCACTACATTGGCCATGTAACCAGATCCAGCTGCTGTTTGTCCTTCACTTCAAGTGGAAGGAAACGAACCCCTCCGGTCTCCACACATTGCCAACAATTTTATTTTGAAAATACAAACAGGAAGTGTTTATTTTTATGTTTTTTGGACTTTGTATTATGTAACCAATGCACAATGTGCAGTTAATACCCTGCACATTCCACTACATACACACCGTTAGCAGTTTATTAGGTACATCTGCACAATCTAATGCATCCCAATATAATAACACTGTAATGACTCATCCCCCAATTTAATATCTCCACCACTCTTTATCCAGAATCCAAAACAATACAGGACAGTTGGCCATCAAAATTGCTTTATTTTAGACAACTTGTAGAGTGTTGTATTCTTTAATGGGAGAGAAGCTTCAGAAGGCTATTAACCATATACAGTTCATTACAGCTTTCCATCATTTGGTCTGGTGGATCTGAGGAATTTGTATTAGCTGTGAACCATACTGTACATGCTGTAACCAGTCAGAGGGAGGGCTGATAAAGCTGTGGGAAAAACAGCTCAACTACAGGTCCGGATACCTGCAGAGTTCCTGAGACCGTTTGGCTGAGATGGGACATCTGGCAGGCAAGGAGTACTTTTTTCCCCCCGGACAGCAGTAGACAATATGTTTGTCAGAAAAATGTTTTCATCAGTACTTGTTTTTGAGAGTTTTTCCAGACTTCAAAAGGAACCAAACCCACTCATTCACAAATGTTGACAGCAACTTAAATGGATTTTCTTCTTGACAGTTGGTAACATAAGATATTAGATAAGCAGAGTTATAATAAATATCACTTCAGAAGTGGTTTTCCAAAACTGACCAGCTGCTTTGACCATTTTACTTGCTATGTTTTGAAAGAACTCCAAAAGATGACTCATTGCGTGTTGACAAACCTGCCAGAAAGATTTAACACTTGCCTGGTTTCTGGTGGTACTTCCCATCCTAATACAAACCACTCACGGACAGTTGGTGTTCATGACCTTCAGAGAGTAATGAGAGAAGAGGCGCTACAACCTTTTTCTCTCACCTCCAATTTCTTTCACGTGTTATAACAATGTTAAAAAAAAACAACAAACAAACAAAAACAACATATTCCCATTCTAAAACCCCACAGTCCAGTCCCCTCCATACCCCTGTTTAACCTAGACACCTACAAGAAACCAGGTAAGAAGAAACGAAGGAGACAAAGTAGGAAAGCCCTTTTCGACTGATGTTCATCCTCATGCTCCAGAAGAGCAGGTTTTTAGTAGCTGCGACCGAACAGGGTGTAGTACTGGGCAGGCTCCTTGCCGCTGACACACATCTGACCAGGCTGCAGCGTCTTCAGGGGAGAGAAGGGGATACAAAGGCTCTTTGCTCCCATGGACGGAGCTCCAGGCTCCAGGTCCTGGTCCCTACAGGAATCAAATACACATATGCAATAAGCACGTGTGTACAGATAATGACGTGTTCCTCAAAAGGTTCAGCAAAGCACTAACTATAACGTCAGACAATGACATGTTGGACGTACTTGGCAGTGGTTTTCTTGATCCAATCCTCGCACTCAATTCCTCCACAGAACGGGATCTGGACAATCTATCAAGCAAGACAAATGTATGATCAGTCCTTTACTCGGGTGAGGACAGAATGAAATGTTTTGTGCTTAGTGTGGGTTTTTTACTCACCTTGCCCTGGTCCAAGTGTTTCTGGAACTGTTCCATCGTGTCTGCAGCCACCATGTTACTCTTCAGGTCGTTTGAAGCTCTGACAAACACAACACACTTTCATCACACATTTCTTGTATGTTTAGGAACACCATGTAGGCATCTTTCATTTAGCCATAATGGTGTGTGAACTACTGAAGGAAATTTCTGCCTGTGCTAAAAAGAGGGAGAACTAAAAAACATAAAGCTGCGGTCCAGACAGATAAACAATCAGCGGAAACTCCATAAAGCTTTATGAGGGGGAGCTGTAGAGTCAGGTGATAATTCTCTGCAAGTTCACATCACTACGACGACCACTCACATTACACATCATGTGATACACTGTCATTAAAAATATATAAATTATAGCCACTAATTTACACCCAGGCAAACCACAGTACTGCAATATGTGTAATACTACCTGTATCAGTGTTTTTGTGCTTTTACAACCAGTGCACTTATCCTAAAGTAGTGACAGTAGAAGCACTGAGCAATTTTTATGTTACATGACCAGATATGTCATACATTTCAAATTCAAGTGTATTTTATTACACTGAAAACAACTTCCAGCTTTCATTTACATGTATGCACGTTTATGTAATCTGTGTGTTTGAGTAAAGGTCTGACCGAGGTGAGAACAGGAGACTGACAGTGTTTTTCTTTTCCTTTCAGATGACACTAACGCCCACAAATTCTTTAGGTGGGATTAAGAGCAGGCAGGTCAGGTTTCACTGCAGATTTCCCCCCCATCCTCTAACAACAAAAAAACATGCCTTTTCTGTGGTCAGTTATATTTGACTGTTTATATGTCAAGATATAATAAAAAAGCCCTGTGCCAGCCAAGTATAGTGTAAGTCTGACCCGGGTGTGTGGTGCTGCATCTTACTTCTTGAACAGGTTGTTCTGGATGTCCTCCAACATAGCGACCAGCCTCTTCTCCACCTCAGCCTCTGGAATTGTCACCTTTTCGCCAGAGTCTCTCCTCACTGCAACACACTGATGCTGATTCACATCTTTAGGACCCACTTCAAGACGGATAGGAACTCCCTGGATGATAGACACAGACAGACACGGATAGAACAGCTCCCGTCATTATCAATGCTTTCAAAAAAATTTTAGCTTTTGTGACTTGTTGACTTTTACCTTCTTTTTTTTTTTTTTTTTAAACTGTTTCTTATTGTTGAATTTATGCCTTCAGGTAAAACACTTAATTCACTACCACCACCACTGTTATCATCATCATTTTATTTCTGACCTTGAGTTCCCAGTGGTTGAATTTCCACCCTGGGGAGTAGTTGTCTCGGAGGTCAGTCTTCACCCTGACGCCAGCATCCAGCAGCTTGCTCAGGTATTTAGAGCACTGGGTCAACACCGCCTCCTTGTCCTGCTCTGGCAGGGATGCAGTGATCCCACATGGGATGATTACAACCTGGAAAAGCAAAGAGACATTTTAATTATTTAGTGTATGCATTTTTTCCCCCTGCGTGTATGAAGTCTTCATCATAGATCGGCCGTTTACTTTAGTGGGGGGGGGGGAGTTGTTCTTCATATAAAAAGAACAGAATAAAAAGCAGATGCCTTGTGCTTAATGGGTGTATTGTTACACATTTGTTAATTGAAAAATAAAAATAATCCATCAAGTATATCTACTGTAGTTTTGTGTGTGTGTGTGTGTGTGTGTGTGTGTGTGTGTGTGTGTGTTGTGTACCTGCAGGCAGGCGACCCTGGGTGGCAGTACGAGTCCCATGTTGTCTCCGTGGACCATGGTGAGGACCCCGATGGTCCTGGTTGTGATTCCCCAGGAGTTCTGGAAAGCCAGCTGTTTCTCACCCGGCCTCTTGGGATCCTCAAACACGATCTCAAACATCTTGGAGAAGTTCTGACCAAGATGGTGGGACGTAGCACCCTGAGGAAACACAAAGCAAAGCAGAGTGTAGGATGACTCCATGGGTTTTTTTTTTAAAACAATTTGCACTAAAGTCAAATCAATCAGAATGTATGTGGATGAAGTGTGAAAAAGAGGAGAATAATAAATCATTGTTTCACTGCAGCTCATCATTGGTGTCTCATCCAATCCGTTGTTGAGATTTAAGAATTAAAAGTAAAATTCTGCTGGCTCAGTGTGATTGGAGGAGAGGATCAAGTGAGGTGATACAGTATACTACTGTACCTGAATGGCTCGGCCGCTGGCAGAGATGAAAGCCTCCACAGTGGTGGTGTAATCTCCTCCTGCAAACTTCTCCTTCTCCGTCTTCCTCCCCTTCACCACAGGGATCGCCATCAGCTCTTCATACACCCTGGCATAAAGGTCCAGGATCTGGAGCACCTACAAATACATAACGTGTAAAGCACACAAAAACGTACTGTTTTGTACAATACAGCAATACTCATTTTAGTACCATAACTATACTGCACTATTATGCATTTCAAAACCAATTCTAGTGTATTTCATTAAACATAATGGAGAGAAGAGTGCTTGCGGTAGTTGTAAGCCAGTGTTGCCAGGGCTGTTACCTCCTCAGCTGCCTCTTCCTTGGTGGCAAAGGCTGTATGTCCCTCCTGCCACAGGAACTCTCTTGTCCTCAGG